AAATGTCAAATTAATTTTTTATTTTATTGGGCGCAGTGTTTGGAAAAGTTTCATTGAGGAACAACACATGAAACATTGCAAAGCGCCACTGGATGTAATCGCACACAAAGTAAGTACCAACTATATTTATATATATATATATAATTCAATTAACACCATACATGCTTTCAATTCACCGGATCTTTTTTCTCGTAAAAGTGGGTTCTGAGACAAGAATAGAGGAACAACTACTGCGGATACTATGTTTGCGAGTTTATCATGGCGTACTCAAAAAGAACTCTGAAGAGAACCTCAAAATACGTTATATAAATATATTCATATATTTACAATTTTTTTATTGCTCATATATATAAGTAATCACGTGACCACAACACACATATATATATATATATATACTTTTTTTTTTTAACTTTTATTGAAGACTCTATGGTTGAAGGAAAAAGTCATACGTATGACCAACTAAAAGCAATTCAAGAGATCATAGCAGGATTTCTTAATGACTCAGTCCTCAACCCCGCCGACGAGTTCTACAATGACGTCAACGAAACATGTAAGCCAAACCAGATGAAGTGAATTTATTATCCCAAGGATATAATAGAATATACAATGCAAGCTTTATTTATAATATATATATATACATATTATATGTCCATAAAATTACGTACAATATATGTATATGCATGTAATATATACGTTAGTTTCATACTTTAGTTTGTACAAAATGTTCGAACATTATAAACGTGTAGAATACGTATATATTAGCAGCGTAGAATGCGTATTCGAAAACTTATTCGAAAACTAAAACGAATCATCAATTGAAAATAGAAAAAAAAACCTTTAGTCCCGGTTGGTAACCAACCGGGACTAAAGGGACGACCCATGTGGTCAGACCGGGAGACCTCTTTAGTCCATCAACCGGGACTAAAGGTGGACATTTAGTCCCGGACGCGAAATCGGGACTAAAGGAGGGATGGTCCTTTAGTCCCGGATTCGTGCTCCTAGTTTTAAAACCAAGACTAAAAGGGTTGAGAACGAAGAGTACAGCTCGTTTCTCTACTGGTGCTGCATGTTCTCCAGGTATTGTTCGCTGCGTGCAAGCATCCAAATTCCCAAATAGAATGTTCAGAATGACTGGCAACTTGGACATACTGGCCCTAACTTCCGATTACAATTGCTGGAACGAACTTGAAACTAACCTGTCTGGCCACATGCCGTGCGGGTATTCTGCCAACCACATGGCAGAATCGCAATAGAGAAAAGGCCAGACCGGGTAGCGGCGAGCCGGCGAGGCGCGGCGCGGCAGGGATATGATTCGTTCTTGCGTTCCCGCGGATGATCCATTTGACCACCACGTGGTTGGTAATACTGCTGTTCTGGCTGCATTTTTCTTTGCAAAACGGAAACACGTTTAGCCGCTAGGCTGTACAAGGATGGATGGTGGTGAGTTACAGGTCTTTCTTCAGAAATGAAAGAAGGTTTGTACAGTAGATTACAGCTGCTTGGAGACAGATTTCTATGTGACATGAAGCTTCCAAGCCAGTGCTTGGAGCAGCAAACTAACTACCCATACACGGCTACACAAGTATGATTTGTTTTCCTTGGCAGATTGCAGATGCATGTATAGCCTGCAGGATCTTGGTTGGACTTGTTAGGTGACTATAGGAGAGTAGAGACAAGCTTATCTTGTTGAGCATCGTCACCTAAGATGCGAGAGGAAGGAGGTAATCAGGTCATGATGATTAGATGTGCATACAGAGCTGCTGAAGAAATGCTAAAAATCTGAAATGCCGGATGGAACCAAGAGTATCAGCTGGTAGAAATTAGGATACATTATCACTCGGTAGTAGGTACAGGTACAGCCTGTGAGTGTTCACACAGCCTTTACTAAATGACCTCTGAACATTACAACAATTATTTCAGTCTCCAAATGACCTCAAAATATGTAATCAAGAGATGTAATTCTTATGTAGATTTTATCTTCACCTACTAGGTAGCGTATCCGTACGTAACATTTTATATTAAAAACACACGGATCGCACGATAAAATAACAATACTATAAAAATAAAATATCAATGTTAAAGTGACATTTAATAAAAAAAACAAAGTGTGTGAAATTAACACAAGTCACGGAGAGCGCGGCGTCGCAGGCTCACAAACTCTACTTTATAGATCTTTTCCGTGATGTGGCTAAGATAATGTTTTATATTGGTCGGAAGAAATCTTCGATATCCAATTCTTTCGTGCTCCAATAATTACCAATGTTGAATATCCGGACTCGGATACGGATAGATCTAAACTCTTTAAACGGATTCGGTCTCGGATACGGTCAAAAAATATCCGTACCGTTTTCACCCCTACTCATAACAATGCCTAAATAAATGGATTACAAATTACATCCACCATGGTTCATATGCAATAGACAAATTACATCCGCGAAGGTCCATAGCTCCAACAAGTTAGAAAATAATAATAAAAAATTCAGAATTGAAAATTGAATTGTCTTCGTAATTAAAACAAACTAAAGCAGTTTTCTTTGAGCCGCTGCTTGTCTGAGATTAAACTACATGTCGATCAACAATATTGGACGAAATGGTCTATTTAAATGGTCACATGATACACCGATGTTTGAACAAACTGATAGCTACTTGCTCAAGGCCTTAGAAATGGTAATATCTTAAAGAAAGTTAACCTTCCAAACTAACAAATATGCATTATAGTAGCGTGCTTGGAGCTACGGATAGCTAAACTTTTATACTAAAACTACATGGATCGCACGATAAGATAACAATACTATAAAATTAAATATTTTAAAGTGATATTTAATCTAAAAGGCAGATTGTGAAATTAACACATGTCACAAACTCTAGTGTATAGACTTTTTCGTGATGCCTAAGATAATGTTTTATATCGGCAGAGAAATCTCCGATATCTATTTCTTCCTTGGTTAAGTTTGAGTATATATATAAATATTAATTCCTGTTAGTAATATTGCATGTCTTGAAAAATCTCTTATAATACCTTAAGTATGTTATAATCACCGATAAATATGTGTGGCTTTAGAACTATTTTATCTTGTATATCAGAGAATAAGGTATCCACTTGAGTGTCAAGATTCACCATCGTCAATCATAGGTATTATTATTGCAAGCTGACAGATATAAAAGTAAATTAGAGGTTATCATAATTGTACATTTGATTTTTCCTAGTTTTTTAGATGATGATGTCCAAGGTAAACTTCAAATATATCATTTTCATGCATTGTGTCAGGGTACAAGCTAAGGAGTTAAATTATAAGATATTTTAGTTTTTCAGGATATATTATTTTAATTATGTATATCTAAGGATATAAAAAAGTTATGTATCTAGAAAAGCCAAAGTGTCATATAAGTTGGAATTGAGAAAGTAATTTTCCTTAGATTCATTGGTCCACTCTGAATTAGTTAGAAACCACAAATTCAAGTTTTGCCCCCCTTATAACACAAATATTTTTAAATTTGCTTCACAAATCAATCGCAACTCTTCATTGAGGATGGAACCAAGCAGAGATTCTAGCCAACCTCTAAATGTCAGCATCATTCCATGCTCGATTTCAATAAGCTCTGCTTCTAAACCATCCTCTCCAAACTATACAACCTCCCTTGCATGATCCCGTGACCTCAAGTTTGGGCACAAAGAAACCATCATTCTGCTCATCATCCAAACCTCGGTAGTATTATGAAATCATGACATATCGATTCTTGGGACATATCTACACGGAACTAAGGCATGAAGGGATGTGATTGGTAAAGAATGGAGAGAGAATGTATGTGGTTGGATAAAAATTGTTCAGCTATCCATTAGGACCATGGTTTTATATGTAGTGTCTATGGAAATTAATAGGTATAGCATTGTGATTTTAATACATTATAGAAACACCGACCTATTTTTTTCCTGAACAAGATTGAGAAGCAAACTATGAGCATCTTGTTTAAATATTCGTCAATAAATAGTGGAAAGATAATGTCCAATTAATCAAAATGTACAAGTCGAGCATGGATAAGGGAGGCGCGAGGCTGAGCGGGCCAGTCTCCTAAGTGGCGAATGACGCTCAATGATCTATAGCGGATGATTGATAATAATTTTCTTTCCTTCGTGTTAATTCTCTTTCCTTTTGCTTGTTGCTATGTATGTTGGTGCATGCAAACATGTAATGTGTATATGGATAGCACAATAATTTTCTACTTCCTATTTTGTAAACATGCAATATTCAATCAAGGAGACAAATCGCGGGCTTTTCTTTTCTCGCCGCCCTCTTTTTCTCATGGGGTGACGGATAAGGCAATTGTCGCACCAAAACGATATCCACACTTTATTCTTTTTAGTTGTAGGAGATTTCCATACGAAAGCGTCATATTTAGAATTATGCGGTCTAGCGTGTATGTACTTGATAACTTGTCACAGTACATATGGCGAGAAATCCAGAAAAAACCCACATGATGGAGCGAGAAGTCATTGGGGGACCACTGTTTTTGCCATTTCATGGGACAATTTTTAAAATCGCCAAAATATTTAGATGTTGCCATTTCAACTGATGGTTCTTCTTCCCCTCCAAAAAAAAAAAACTGATGGTTCTTCTATCTGGCCCAAACTGAAGACACCCCTATTCCCTCAAAAAAAAGACACCGACACCCCGAAGACAGCCCAATCAGAACCTGTCCCCTTCCCTTCGGGCTTCGGTCTTCGCCGCCACATGAGGCCGCGCTGCCAGGCCCACGCAGTCCCTCCGGCCGCGGCGCGAGAGCCACGCCGCCCGGGCGCCCCCGCGCCCCCGCCCACGCGGCAAGCAGCACAAGCGACTCGCTAGTAGTGAATCGACTAGAGCGGCGTGGTCTGGTGGTCTCGTTGCTAGGCGCGCAGCCACGCACTCGGCTTGTCAGGCTTTCTCCTTCCCCAAGCCAAAACCCCAGAGGCGAGAGAGAGGGCGAGAAGAAGCGCATCGCGGCGCGGCGGACAGCACCAGATGGAGCCCTCACCGGCGGCGGGAGAGCTGGGCGCGATGCTTCGGGCAGCCGCTGACTTCGCGTCCTACCCAGGCAATGCCCCTTACCCTTCCTCGCCTCGAATCTGGGCGGATGAAGTAATTGCTCAGGTTGTCTCCGCCAGCGCTGGGGTTATGCTTAACTCTGATCGTGACAATGGGTTGGATCACTTTAGTGTGGAGCTCGCCGCGCTGGAAACCTAGTAGGGGATCTGGTTTGGTTCTGTCTTACTTCAGCATTCGGTTGATTCTCGCGCGGATTCTGCTATTGGTTGGAAGATATGTTCGCATGCCCTGCTGTAGTGGGGAAATTTCCCGTAGCGTTATTATCTCCAGTCTCATCAATTAAGGTCACGACTAGTTCTAATTTGATTTTTTTTCTAGCTGGAGATACCAGCGGCTTGTATTACACCATCCATCGATGTGTGTCTTTGTGCGTGAGTGTGTTTTGATGGAAGGCTATTTTCCCTACTAGAAAGGGAATTACAAGTAGTTTAGGCAGATTCATGACATAATAATGGTTACACATGTCTGCTGAAGTGGTGCACATCGAAGTCTTACTTAAATTTTAAGCACGCTAGTTAAATTTTTGAAGGGCATAGGTAGACTATTCATGTGATGACTAGAGGACTGAATCTACATGTCATTTGTGATTTGTTGCAGGGTTGCATAGTGATGATACTGTGAGGCAGTTCCTGGAACGATGTCCTCTGCCTAAGCTCTTAGGGTATGCCTCTTTTCTTTCCTCCAATTTTTAAATTGTTGACTTGTTGTATGTTCCTGTGCCATGTAATTCATAACAATACAGGCCCAGAAAAAATTACCTCTTTTCGAGAACCTTTTAGAAGTTTTATCCATATGTGTTCTGATTCCAATTCATGTTAGATATACTAAATCCTGTAGTGGTCAATTGAAATTGAGAGAATAAGCTAAATGATTTTGACTTTAATTTTTTTTATTCTGAAATAGCCTTCAGTAGTTAGTACTACTATGAAATAATTGGTTAGATACATTAACTTTCTAATGAAAAAAAATCGTGGATCCGCTTAAAAAAAAACTTGCTATACTCAGGCTATGCATATGCATGCATTTATGCTCGTAGCTTATATCAGCATCCATAGACGCTTTTCATTAGTGTGTAGAAAGAGCTACATACCCTATCATATTATATTATTTATACAAAAATATAACTGTACTATGATCCTGGAAATACAATGAGAAAATTTGACCTGTCACTTCTAGACAACCTTATTTTTCTGCACATAAAGAAATAAGGAAGCCATTGCAATTGCTGGAAATACTAAGGCTACTAAATGCACGAAAATAGAGGGTAAGTTAAAATCCGTTACAGAATATGTGTCTCAATTTGATATAAAGTAGCTTGACTATTGTTTTTTTTAGTTTACAAAATATTTTCTTATAGAATGCTATTTTTTATAGATATAGAATTAGAATAATTTTATGTTTTTGTGAAATTCTCTTACACTGACAAAGCCAACTTTTACAGTTAGCGCCTTATTTATACTGTCTACTGGCACCTTATGTGCTTTATCCAGTTTCGGTGATGCTGTTTATTTTTCTTTGTCCTTTAGTGCATTGCAGAGTGAAGCAGATGTACCTGGGATGGTTGAAACTGTCACGGAATGTTTAGACAAAATATTTTCCTCAAGATATGGAGTGTCACTTCTGCCAAGCTATGGTGTATGTGTGACTATCTCCTTCTGACTTGCTATCTAGAGTTCTAGACATGTCCACCTACTCTTACCTAGCTCAACATATTTAAAGATATCTAACAAAATGATCAATGTTTATTCTTCGTGAAAACTCCTTGCTTAGTTCTCATGCATACTGATGATCTGAAGTCTCCATTGTATTTTTAATATCCAGGCATTTATTCAAGCTGGGTTGCTCACAGACTCGAAGCAAATCAGAAAATTAGCCTGCAAAGCTGTATGTACCTGAACGTGTTTCTAAGTGCATGTTACTCGCAATTGTTGCTCTTTATTTGTTATCCATTTTGGACATTCAGAAAACTTGGTTTTATCTGTTATCTTTATTTAACTCTAATTTCTTTTATCCATTTCTAAGTACACACTCAGGTACATTTAAGCACAATGCATAATTGCATACTATAGATTTTTATTGTAATTTCATCTGATTGCTTCTTTGAGATGGCAAATGGATAAAGACAATTTCCTTCTACTACATAGTTTTTTTTAAAAAGATTTACTCCATGTAACCTTCAAGGTTTCTTTAATCTGGACGTAGCTCATATTCTCTAGAGTAAACGGTCACAGTGAACTTTGTGTGCTCACTGTGCTGACAGAGCACTTGTGTGCTCTGCCAACTCATGCTAATCCCCTTTCATGTATGGTGTTCTTCATTTCAGTTTTGAAAACGTTCTACAAACTTTTGGCAGAACAATGTCTCTAGCCACTGACTGAATACTATATCACCATATCAGGTACTCCATCTTCTTGACAAGGCTGAAGATGGTGCTGCTGCTGTGGAAACAGTTGTCCAACACAATCTGTATCCTCTTCTGATCAATTGTTTGATTGAGGGGTATTATTTTTTATACGCACACACTTTATTCAATCCTGTTGAATCATATGCATTGTAACTTGATCATAAAATTTTATTTGCTGTCTTTGGTTTCTGCAGAGATGAAGAGATTTCAGCAATCATTTTGGACACTGTAAAGCGTTTAGCACAAATTCCTAAAGGAGCCGTGAGTCCAATAATTCTTCTTAGTATTGAACATCTAATCTGCGCGATTGATATTTAGTCTATTTCTTTCCTGTTTGTAGGAAGTCATATTCCCACCAGATGGTCAAGGATCTGTGCAACTTGGTAAAGTGATGGCTCAGTCATCCTCATTGGTACGGGGTACATATTTTGCAGAACAAACAAATAACAAATTAACAACAAGTCATGCCCTCGTGGACCAATGCCGGTCTACATGCACAAAGCCAGAAACACGTGCTTTAAAACAAACCAGTTATTCAATACTGCATATGATCTGATCCACTTGTGTTTGACCTTATTAACTATATGCCATCAAGTTTAAATGTAGTTACAATGGTACAAAAGTATTAAGTGATATCACCAAAACCTAATGCAATTGCTACTGTTATTGGTATCTTTCGACTTTATTGTATCATCTTTGTTTGTGGCTCTTGTTGAGTTTAATCTCTAGTCTACCCCAACTTACTTGGGAACAGAGACTTTGTGTTTTTCATAATGAGAATGGCACATCAATACTCCCTCCATTCTAAATTATAAGACGTCTTAGCTTTTCTAGATACATTGATTTAACTATGTATCTAGACATAGTGTATATCTAAATTCATAGCAAAACTTATGTATCTATAAAAGCTAAAACGTCTTATAATTTGGAATGGAGGGAGTACTATTTATAATGAATCTATTAATATCATTTTCATGTGTCTTCCAGAGTATTTACCATGTAATATAGTAATGGCCAAAGTTGCATGCATTCTAGGATGTCATCAAATCTTTGTGTACATTTCCCTTTTACCTGGTGCCAATAAAATTAGTTACCATTGAGTGACTTTTGTTTATGTTGTACTGGATGCTCTTACTGTTGATCTGTAGACCACAACATGACCAATTGATATTCATGTTTCTCGCTATTGTAGCCACGGATTCGTATTCTGTCTTTGATAGCCAAGCTCTTCACTGTTTCAAGTTATACTGCTGCTGCCATCCGTGATTCAAACCTTCTGAGCATATTTGAAGAGGAAATAAAAGATAGAAGAGATATGCTTAAAACCCTCAGTGCGCTGGAGGTCCTATATGAGGTAAAAGGATTTTTTTTTGTTCATTTGCATGTCTTAAAATTTGGCTTTATCACTAAGAGTTTCATTGTGAATACTTGATTTATGTATTTACTTTTCAAAAAAACGATTTACATTTGGAAAACTGTTTTTAAGGAGGAGGGGCTATATCCTTAAGTTTGAAGATAATAATGTTTTTTTTATGGTGCCCGTCGTGTAAAAGCTCGTGAAGCCGTGATTCATTTGCAAAAGACTTGCATTAGTATCGTTTCATATTATATGCTTGGTGAACCAATGTTTATCGCATTGTTATAATTGTAGTTTCTTTCTTTGTCTATTGTACCATGTCAACATGTTACATAATCCTGACAGTCATAGGTATTCTGCTATCTAATGAATGATCATGATCAATGTCTTCAAGAACCTGGAGTTTCTTGGAGAAGCTATATATTTTGGCTAACCATCTCTTCTATGACACTGCAGCTTGTTGAACACCCTCACAGCAACATTTTCCTGCTGAAGACCAACTTGCTTCAACTCATAATTGATATCATCAAGTAATTGTCTTGTGCCTTTATACTTCTGTTTTTCCTTTTGTTATGTTTTCAGCTATTATATGTTGTCTTTTCTTTTGGTCCGTGTGCAGTGATTCCTCAGCTGATTCTGTTATACGGTCAAGGGCAGCATTAATTAGTGGGAGGCTTCTTTCTTCAGCTGATGCTTTCACAACAATAGATAAATCCTGTAAGCATCAATGCACCATTTCAGTCATCAAACTTCCGGTTACCGATTGTATCACAACTTTGAGCATTGAAGATTTTTTATTGTAAATGTTTCATCATCCTGCTTTAAATTTTATCAGACGACCATCTTCTGTGGTTTTCTTACATGTGGAACTAGACAGACATGTTAATCAAGATTTCCCCATGTTAGGCGTTACGAATCTGCTTGTAGCCATAGACAAAATTTTGAAGATGGAAGAAAACCAGAATACTGATGAAATTGAGAGTGCATTGGAGACCTTGGGTCTAATTGGTACAAGTAAGTCATGCTTCTGCTTAATAATATTGAAATTTTCACCACGTTGCCAGAACAAATCCTTACTGTTTCTTTGATTTTATGGTACAATAGCAAGTCAAGGAGCACATTTCTTGCTGACATCATCAAATGTTGCCAGACATGTTGTCGAGTCATCCTTCGACCGACAAGGCAGAGGTAGACAGCTGGTAAGTTTGTATACTTTTATTTGCATGCTTTGATCGAAATCATCACTTGTTACTGGTAAAGGGGTCATATTGTTAGAAACTATCCCTCTTATGCGTTATGATACATATGCAGGCTGCTTTACATGCCTTTGGGAGCATCTGTGGTGTGGATAGACAAGAAGACCAGATGAAACTGCATGGCGAAGCCGAAGAAAACTTGAAGCGCTTGGTCTATACAACTGCAGCAAACAGTCCAAAATTAACCCCTTCAGTTAGTAGCAACAGTTTTTCTAGTTTGTCCATTTATCTGAATTGCTTATGAAACTGCCTTCTTAGTTGTGTTTTTTTATTAGCCTTTTTCTCTTGATTGTTTGCTAGGCTCTTCTACTATCAATTCTGCAACAAGACCCGGACATTAGGATAGCTGTAAGCACCTTATGCTCGTTAAAGATATTTTTGCATTTTGAATGAATATTTTCTTAACTCGTTAGCTTGAATATTGTTATTGTGCACAACCTGATGAATGTGGAATGCATGACCTTGGGTATCTGCAGGGCTACAGAGTAATATCAGGACTGGTCATCCGGGAATGGTGCTTAAGGGAGGTTTGCTTAAATTCAGAGATAATCAGATTTGTTACAGATCCAACAATGGAGACAACAAAACTTGGTAAGTAATTAATACACTTGGTCCTAATGAAGTAATTATTACCATCTGAACTTGTTTCAACAGGAGTGCTGCATTATGGTATTTATTTGATCATTTGGAATTGTTTTTATGAAACTGGTTGTAATTGAATGCGTTGCCATAATTAAGTCATTCATAGTTACTAATAATCCTACCATACACTGCTAGTTTCTATTTATTGGGCCAATCATTGTAATGGTATGTTGTAGGCATGGAAGCCCGGTATGACTGCTGCGTGGCAATCAACAAGGCCCTATCATCATCCCATCTTCTGCATGAAGCAAGTCTTTCTGGACTCATTGGGAAGGTAGACTCTCACTCTCTCAGGGCCATTATCTGTCACTTTTGTTGCTTGAGTCTAAAACGTTAACCAGCAATACAAAACGTTTTTGGTGCAGTTGAATGATGCGGTGAAACGGGGCCCTTACCTTTCTGATAGGAAGCGTGTTGAGGCACGGCCGGTGGTTGATACTGCAGAGAGGTTTTAAGCTAGCCTTGAGTCTTCACCCAAAGTAAACGATGACTCTCACAGCGTAGTTAGGAGGTAACTGGGCGTCTCATGCGGTTGGCTTATGAGTAACAGACATAGATCTGGTGTACTTGGATGATGGGGAGGACAATGTGTACTCGAGCTCACACCGACACTGGCTGGCGATAACAAAACATACATACAGTTTCTTGTGGTTTGCTTGATGCAGCCCATACCTGCAAAACAAACTCATCTGTTGCAGGACCATGCCTAATTTTGGGGAAATAGCAGATGCAACCAGCACTATTTTCTCATATATTGAATGCTCAATCAAATCGGGTGATTTCTCCATATATATCTAAACCTAAACTGTTCCTAGATTTGCAAGAACTGAATCAACAAACCAAAACATCAGCCTCCGGGCACACTGTATTCTGTACAACATGGTTGCCTTGCCTCTATCTATGCAGCATGCGCACTCTGCATTATCTACACATGCGCACAGCTGAACTGCACACCACGGCAAACAAGACACACAAAGACGTTGAGGCGTCGACGGCAATGGATGCCTCAAACGTGATCAGTGTCCGTCAGTGTCCTCTTGCACTGCGATGAGCAACGAGTACTTGACCTTGAGCGCAACCTTGCCGCCCTCCATGCACAGCTTGGCGCCGGTGACCACCCAGTAGCCCGGCAGGTCGTCGGGGCCCCTGCTCACCTCGGTGGTGTCAATGTGCCTGGCCATCTTCTGAACCGGGAGCGACACCGGCGGGCCCTTGGGGAATATGGCGGAGTTCACCTCCACCTCCTCCTCCGCTGGCGGCACCGGCACCGGCGCCAGGCCACCGGACAGCGCGGTGCTGAGCCGCGCCGACAGCGACCCGGACTTTCGCGGCACGACGAAAGGCCCGTTCCACTCGGAGCGGCGTATCTTCATGGCCGCGACGCCGGAGAAGCCGAGGCGCAGGAAGAGCACCTTCTTGAGGCAGCAGACGTCGCGCACCTCGAGCCACGCGCTGGTGACGATGGCGGCGCAGTCGTCGATCCGCGCGCCGTTGTACTGCACGGGCGCCGTGCAGATGTGCGAGAGCAGCGGCGACCGGACGGGCTCGATGTAGTCGCGCTCGTTCACGGCCACGTCCTCCGCCGACGCGGCCTCGCCGAGCACCGTGACCGCGCCGGGCGTCGCCGACAGGTGCTGCAGGTGGACGCCCAGCCGGTCGTTCTTCTTGCCTTCCAGGAACAGCCGGATGCCGGTCACCGGGCGGTTGCTGGAATCGACCTGCACGCGTGCACGCGGACGCGACAGAGTTTGGCTGAGCCGTGCATGTATGTACGGGAGAGCACTAGAACAGTGATTGATGGCTACCTTGGCAGTGTTGACGTGAAGTTTAGGGCCCATGAGGGTGAACTGGAGAGACGGCAGGCTGTTCTTCCTCCGCTGGAGGCAGAGCGGGAGCTCACCGAACTCTGGAGCCCAGTGGCGAGGCACCTGGAACTCGAGAAATTGCTGGAGCTCTTCTATGGGCGGTTTGTCTGGTTCCATTCCACAAGCAGGAAAAATGAATGAGCAACCGACGATTAGACAGGACATCCAACACAACACAACACACACACATCCGATGAACTTTCAGATTAGACTGACAGTTTGCTACAGTTACAACACGCTTTACAACATACATACATCTGAGGTAGAGGTTCACCGCGTGGTTGAGGAAGCCGCTGCCCCGGACGCCGGTCAGCAGGCTCGTTATGGGCACGAACGACATGGAGATCACGTCCGGGAAGCCGGTGATGGTGGAGAGCCACTTGCTGTGGCACTGCCCGCTGTCGACGCCGCCCCTCCTGATGTGAATGCACACGATGTCCTGCGAGGTCCCACATTCCAGTTCCAGGGCGTTATTCACATTTGTGTTGTGATGAGCAGTAAATCCGTCGGGCAAAAGTGCGTGGGTGCTTGCTTGCTTACATCCTCAAGGCTTTGCTCATTCGTTTCACACTCGGTTGTAGGAGTATTTGAATTGCATGGAACCATGGACTCCAAGTCTCAGTTTTCAAACGCGATGAGGCGATATGTACTGTACATGTATGTGATGGGCAAAGAAGAGGAAGAGAGGAGTGAAGTGCTCACGTTTAGCCCCTGCGACAGCCTGCCGTCTCCCGCGGCGGAACCGGAACCGGAACCTGCCGCGGAATCCTCCTGTGACGAGGACGAGAGCCTGTCGTCGGCGAGCTTCTTCAGCCGGGCCTGCACGTCGCTCTGCGTGAGGTCGGAGCCCTTGAGCTGCTTCACGCACACCACGTCCTTCCCTCCCATCTTCACCCCGACGATGACGTGGGTCCCGTACTTGTCGATGAACCTGCAGGAAGCACAGCAGCAGCATTAGTTTCAGTTTCAGCTTCGCTGCGCGCCACCGTCACCGCTGCTGGGGACGATCGATAATACGTACTCGGCGAGCGCGGCGGGATCCCAGAAGGGCGGGAGGTCCCGCTTGACGTCCTCCCGGAGGACGAGGTGCGCGCGCACGGCCTCGACTCTGTAGAGCTCGACGAGGCGGGCGTCGAAGCAGAGGCTGCGCGTGGCGGCGGCGTCGCGGTGCCAGCACCCGCGGTAGTCGAACATGCGTTGAAGGCGCCCGAGGGGATCTTGCTGCCCGCCAGCGACAGCGACCGGTTCACCTGCTCTGCCATCTGCGCGAAGGGGAGCACGTCGGAGCGGAACCGCGCGCGCTCGCCCTTGTCCGCGACGACCCCGCCCGGCACGCCCGCCACGACGGCACCGCCGGGGAAGGCCAGGTCCCTCGGGGATGTCCCGGTGCCGGCGGCGTCGAGGTCCACGAGCCGGCCACCAGGCTTGGCGCGGCGCAGGCGGAGGTCCCCCGTCAGGTCGTAACCGCACCCCACCGCGCCCACGGCCGCGTCCTGCGCTGTCATGCGCGCGCCCCTGGAGCTCCGCGTCGTCGTCATCGTCCGTCGTCCGTCGTCCGGTACCCCTCTGCTCTGCCCCGTGCGTCCGGCGGGGTTATAACGGACGCAGCCGGGAGGGTGGGCCGGGTTATAACGGACGCAGCTGCGAGGGACGCCACCGGCACGCCTGTGACGCCACCGGCACGGTACGGTACTATTCCATCGGCCTGCCGTGCGGCGTGGGCGTTCACGGAATGGGCCTTATGCCGTGCATAGTGTTTGTGCTACACTAGGTAATGGGCCCGTAAGCCGACTTGTATGTCGCAGGGGTGTAATTCCTGTGCTTAGCTCATTTTCGTTGTTGCACTCTCAGATAAGAACTCGCTGTGTGGGCGGTTGGACGGTCAGCGAATAAACGAAATCAAATTCCTGTTTCTCTTCTTCCCGAGATATTCCTGCTGTTGAGACGGCGCCGCCGAGCTCGCTCGCCATGCGCGTACGTCGACATCCCTATCAATCCTACCAGAATCGTAACATTTGGTACCAGAGCCTTCCGATCCGTCGCTGATACTGGATTCATAAAATCCCGTCGCCAACGGTTGAATCCAGAGCTATCGCACGGTCAATATACCGAATCCCCCATCTCCGCCGCCGCCCGATCCGTCCTCGCCGCCGTTCAATTCATCCACCACCTCCTTCCCCTACCTCCACCGTCACCGATTCCACTGCACCAGCAACTTTTCCACCCTGCCGATCCATTTTCCTTCCACCCCAACCACTTCGCCACCACCGCCTCCGATCGATTCCCAACTTCCGGTTGATCCGCCACCACCCCCATCCTAGTTACCCCACTCGCCTGAGCGCAAACCCAAACCACCAACCCTCACCTCCCGAATGGCGACCGCAGAGGAAAAGCTCGACGCGCTCGATGCGCAGATGAAGTCCATGCTCCTACTGATGGAGACCTTCAATCGTTGGCGTTCTGAGGTCGATCACTTCTCCACCGAGCTAACCAAGGAGATCAAGACTCTCATGTCGCGTGTGGAGGCGTTGGAAGCGAACAACACTCCGCCATCGGCCCCGAAGCCCGAGGAAGAGGGGCGGGCCATGGGCCACGGCGCTGCAACATCACCACAGGGGAATGATGGGGGGACTCTGATCCTCACTCATCCCCTGGCCAATGGTTAGTCATCCACCCCTAATTCCCCAGTTCATTATCATACTGCGCCTACACACAATGAATGTCGTTTGCCTAAGGCCTAATTTCCCAAATTTGATGGGTCTCATCCAAAAGTCTAGAAAGAAAAAGCAGAAAAATATTTTGACATGTTCAATGTCCCCGTGCATCGCTGGGCTCAGTATGGCACCCTCCATTTCAAAGGGCATGCTGCTTTATGGTTACAAACCTATGAAGCATAGCATGTGGTAGATAACTGGGTTGAACTCTGTATTGCTATTGAGTCTAAATTTGGGAAAGATCTCTATCACAACTCTATGCAGGAACTACTGAGCATTAAGCAAACCTCTGATGTTCAGGACTATTATGATAGATTCCAAACTGTCATGCATAAAGTGCTGGTGCATAACAATCATTTAGATGATGTTTTCTTTGTTAGCAAATTTCTCCAAGGGTTGCATCCTGACATAAAAGATGCTATTGTTTTACATAAGCCGAGAACAGTTGATGTGGCTTTGTCACTGGCTCTAATGTAGGCCAACATGTTGGAATCTCAACCCAAGCATTTTGGCAAGCGCCATTATCACGACTACAACAAGTATCAAGGCAAGCCACCTCAAGCAGCACCACCTGGTGTTCTGGACGCCCCACCAGCTGAAGATACAAAGCCAAAGTGGAAAGACAAGCATGCAACATTGTGAGCTCAGCGACGCGCTCAAGGCTTATGCATGAAGTGTGGTGAGAAATGGGGCCGTAACCATAAGTGCCCTGATAAAGTGGCTCTGTATGTCTTGGAAGAATTCATGGAGCTGATTTCAGATGAAAGCCCTCCTGAACAAAATACTTTAGATTCTAGTGATGAAGATGAAGCTGTGTTTGCTCTGTCTCAGTCAGCAACAGTCGGCGTTCCAGGCAAGAAAACTATCAAGCTCCATGGCATAGTCAAGAATCAAGAACTGCTCATCCTCATTGACTCAGGCAGCTCCTACACATTCATCAGCGACAAAACTGCTACCGCGCTGAACTGTGTCCTGATGCCTGCTCCTCCCATTCAAGTAACGGTAGCAAATGGCGATAAACTTCCGAGCACCCATCAGGTCCTCAATTTCAGTTGGTGGTCTCAGGGGCACACGTTCACAACTAATGCTCGTGTGCTGCCCTTGCCGTACTATGATATGGTGTTGGGTATGGACTGGTTGGAGCAACAAAGTCCCATGTGGATACACTGGAAAAGGAAATTGCTGAGGTTTTCTTATCAGGGCAGAAGAATTAGCTTAAAGGGGGTCAAAGATACTTTATCCAGCTGTCCCAAAGTGAAAGTAAGGAAGTTAAAAGGCCTTATCAGGAAAGGCGGTATCGCTCAGTTGATTCACTTATGTCAGGTGATGCCACCTTCGGCTCCAGACAAAATTCCTATGACAATACAACAGTTAGTGAACAGTCAGGCTCATCTTTTCAGGGACCCAGACTCTTTGCCACCATCCAGGGAGTTTGATCACCAGATCCCTCTGTTACCTAGTGTGAAGCCTGTCAATATCAAGCCTTACAAATACTCACCGACACAGAAAGATGAGATCGAATGTCAGATCATAGAAATGCTCTCCAATGGCATCATTAGGCCAAACCAAAGTCTTTTTGCATCTCCAGTGATCTTAGTCAAGAAGAAGGACGACAGTTGGCGCTTTTGTGTTGATTACCGGCAACTCAACAACATCACTGTAAAAAACAAGTACCCATAATCAGTTGTCGATGAGCTTCTGGACGAGTTGAATGGAGCAACTTGGTTCACCAAGTTAGACATGCGATCAGGCTATCATAAAATTCGGTTGGCTCCTGAAGATGAAGCAAAAACAGCCTTCCGTACTTACAGTGGGCATTGGAAATTCAGAGTAATGTCGTTTGGGCTCACAAATGCCCCAGCTACCTTTCAAGCCTTGATGGACACTATCTTCCAACCACTGTTGAGGAAATGTGTACTGGTCTTCGTTGATGACATACTCATTTACAGTCCCACACTAGAAGCTCATGTGGAACATCTGCAACAAGTCTTCATCATTCTCAATGATCATCTGTTATTGCTTAAGAGGTCCAAATGTTCTTTTGCTCAATAAACTTTAGAATATCTTGGTCACATCATTAGTGGACAAGGTGTGGCGATAGATCCCAAGAAAATTGAGGTCGTGCTAACTGGCCCCCACCATCAGATACCAGGGTTTCTCGGTCTATCCAGCTACTATCGAAAATTCATAAAAAATTATGGTATTCTGAGTCGACCTCTTACTGATCTATTAAAAAATGATGCTCTATTTCATTGGACACCGCAACTGCAAACATGCTTTGACAACTTGAAACAAGCCCTCATTTCAGCACCTGTGCTTGCCTTACCAAACTTCCACAAATCCTTCACAGTTGAGACCGAAGCTTCCTCCACTGGTATTGGTGCAGTGCTATCTCAAGACAAGCACCCAGTGGCTTACCTGAGTAAGGCCCTTGGCCCCAAGGCTCAAGCACTCTCAACATATGGAAGGAGTGCATGGCACTCATTATGGCAATCACAAAATGGAAGCCTTACCTCAAGCACAAGGAATTCACGATTGCAACCGACCACAAGAGCCTCATTCATCTTGGGGAGCAAAAGCTACATGAGGGTATGCAACAAAAAGCTTTCATCAAGCTGTTGGGCTTACAGTACAAAATTATATACAAGGGTTTGGAGAACAAAGCTGTAGATGCTCTTTCCAGGTAAGCTGAGCCTTCATCTCTAGCTGCTATCTCTGCAAGCACTCCTAAGTGGTTGGAAATCATTTTGGAAGGCTATCAACAAGATGACCAAACCAAACAGTTGCTCACTGAGCTCAGTATTACTGGTTCAAATGACAAAGGCTTCACTCTCAGTGATGGGCTTATCAAGTACAAAAACCGTATTTGGTTGGGGAACCACAAGGAGGCACAACAGGCTGTCTTACTAGCTCTCCATTCCAGTGGCCTCGGTGGGCACAGTGGCATCACTGCTACTTATCAGAAGGTAAAATTCCTCTTTGCTTGGCCCAATATGAAGCAATTATCATAGATTATATTAATGCTTGTGAGGTATGTGCCCAGACTAAACCTGAACACTGTAGATTATCAGGTTTATTGCAGCCACTTCCTATTCCTACACATGCCTGGCATACCATCAGTCTAGATTTCATAGAGGGTCTTCCTAAGTCCAAAAGCTTTGACACTATCTTAGTGGTCATAGATAAGCTAACCAAATATGCACACTTTATTTGTTTGGCCCATCCCTATACTGCTTTATCCATAGCCCAAGCTTTCTTAGTCAATGTGTACAAACTGCATGGCATGCCTTCCATCATCATATCTGATAGGGATAAAATATTCACTAGTGCCCTCTGGCAAGAACTTTTTAGACTTACTGAAACCACACTCAACATGAGTTCAGCCTACCACCCTCAAACCGACGGTCAAACCGAACGTTTGAATCAATGCCCTGAAACCTATTTACGATGTATGGTACACTCATGTCCTCAAAAATAGGCCCAGTGGATTCCCCTAGTCAAATTTTGGTACAACACCACATATCGCTCTGCTCACGGTCATACTCCTTTTGAAGCAATGTACGGGCACCCCCTAAAACATTTTGGAATTACTGCTTCTGATGCTTGTTCTGTCGCTGATCTGGATGATTGGTTGCAAGCACATAATACAATGATGCAACACATTCAGCACAACTTGGCTCGAGCACAACAACGAATGCAGCATCAGGCTGATAAGCACCGTCAGGAAATGTCTTTTGATGTTGGGGATTGGGTATATGTTAAACTGCAACCACACATTCAGCAGTCAATCCAGCGTCGATCTAATCAGAAGCTTAGTTATAAGT